AGGACCTCCAGGCAGAGATGGCCGTGTTTCGGCATGTGTAATTGCAGAACGTGTGGCTGAAACAACTCTGCTGCAGAGAGGTGCTGGGATTCCCTCCGCCAACATCTCTGGCACACGAGTCCCTGCTGTCACATCGAGGTGGCCCGGGTGAGCCAAAGAGAAAGATGAGGGCGTAAGACAGGGAACTGCTGTCATTCTGTGGTGCCAAACCAGCAGGCTCCTTTGGTCTGGTACTTGCACTGTGGTCCAGTGAAGGCCAGGTAGCACACTTGAGCGAGCCCTCATGGGGTCATTAGGGAGGAGCTTCTCCAAAACTTTCCTGAGGGGCTTAAGAGATTTCTTTTTTTTTTTTCCCCACACAATAATAATAAATAGCACTTACCCATTTCTGAAGGCTTCTCTTCTTCCAAGCCAAATAAAAATTCATATTTGGCCTTGGCAACAGTCTGGGCATGAGCCGATACATCATTATCCCACACAAGTGCTTCTGCCTGTAGAGTCAAAATAAACAAAGCTTATCTACCTGTTAGTGAAAAAACAGCAGCAGGAACATGAAAGCCCTTCAGGTGGGCTGTCATGTAGGATTTTCAAAGTGTTCATTTAACAATATCACCACCAAGATCAACCAGAGCAGACATTGGCCAGCTCAGAGTGCTTTTGAAGAGCTCACCTCTCTGTCTTCGAACGCAAGCGTTTCAGTATTACGCAGCGATGTTAGAGCACCCAACTCCTCACATCTTTAGCCAGCTTACCCGCTGCAAGGCCAACAGCAACTGGGCAACCATCTCAGTAATACCAGTTAGGGTTAAAAATGCCTAGAGAATAGTATCAGAAATAGCAAATTTGAGTATGGATGTTGCAAAACTGGGACCCATGGGAAAACCATAAGTGGGGCAGGCTGTTTCTCTGGGAGGAGACTGGCATGGAGAAAGGGAGGAGCAAGGGCTAGAAGAAGGATGATCAAAAATGGGAAAGAAGATAATAAGGTATGCAAACGCGTGGCGAGTGCTGTGAGGGCCCCTGTTTGTGCAGCCCCTCGCCTGACCACCGCCATCTAGATCAGGACAATAGCCAGCCTGTTTTTATGACCATACCACACAAGTCAAACCTGCTTCTGTGGCCATGAGGCAGGGAGGGGGCACAGGGTGGTCTCCCCGGTTAGCAGGGGAGCACCTGGGGGGGACAGATGGACAGACAGATCGAGCATCCCGGTGCCACCTAGGCCTGGTGCCACCAGCACCTTCCGACCGCTTCCTACTCATAAGAAGCAGTTTGACACAGTAAAGGTCCAGTTTCTCAGAGGAGAGAAAGACTGCAGGACTAAGATTAAAATTAGTTTTCTGAACAGGTGAGGACAAATCAAATCTCTGAGATAAAGCACACACCAGCACTAAACTGTAGTGCAAAAACTGTCTGCAGTCGGCATTAAGTTTCTTCCCAGCTGGGCAAGATGGAGCCCGTAACTCTTCTGTCTGAAGTGACAGATGAAATTAATCATTAACTCTATAAATTCTTCAGTGACCTTTATATTCATACCCTATGTCTGAGGCAGCCAACTGTTATGGCATAGCAAGTCATTGCATGGTTCACACTGGCAAAGGCCTTAGCTTACAAAAATACTCTTTAAAAAAAAGAAGCCAGATGGAACATTCTGCCCTCCAGGACAATAATAACTTTTATGCAGTTCCACCAAATACCTTAAGGTAAGCGTCAGCTACAAACAGAAATTCAAAGTACAGGAGACACATAATTCACAGGAACGGTCAAGGCTCTTTAATCAGAGATGGATGGAATCACAAATCCATACATTCCTCCAAGGTCAGCTCTCCAAAAATTACATTTTCTTCCAAGAGCATATTGACAAATAACTATCTTGCCCCATGCCCTAGAGCTGTTTTGTTCCAGGTTTTCCTGGCCTTTTACCCTCATTTCTTCTCCCACTTTTCTGCATTGCACCAGTTCTGCAGGATTTAGTCCAACACACCTCTGTAATAAGTGGGCAGTAGATCTTATGCAGAGCCATTCACTGGTCCACCTATTCACTAGGGCTCCAACGGGTACTTTGATGGAGCTGCTAACACTAGCCTACCAAATACTTTGGAAAAAATGTGATGAAAGAGATGAAGGGCTTTCTAGCACAAAGATGACTATCATGAGCATGATGAAACAAGCTTGGAAGAAGCCTCCATGCCTCCCCTGTTTTACAGGGCTGCATTCATTTGCAGGAAGGGGGGCAGGAAAGGCTAGAAAAGGAACAGCTGGACCCAGAGCACACAGGAGGAGGCTCTCGGTCTGCAATAGCCTGGACAGGAGTAGCTTACGGAGCCTGACAAAAATTCAGCCTACCCAGATGGATGCGAAGGGATGGGACGGCTAAACAACTAGCTGGTGCCAAATCCCACTCACAGATGAATGAAATGGAAAATAAAATGGACAGACCAGTCCAGTTCCTGAGTAGTCAGGAATTTCTGATCTACACACCTCCGGGACACAGCATCTCCAACCATCAGACCTGCTCTTCGAGGCTTCACAGACATCTGCTGCACTGAGCTTCCCTGCCAGCAAACACATTTTCCAAGGGTCTGTATTTGCCTGTACCTTACTGTAAAGCAACGAAGAAGAGTCCGGTTCACAGCACCCTCTCCATCATCCAGTAATAGGCAGAAATTAATGGTTAAATTAATGTTTTTTCAGTGTACAGGGCAGTGTTTATCAGAGTTAGGTAAACTCTCCGCCTAAGCAGAGACTGCAAAACCTTTGTCTTGGCATCTGAAAGGGATAACTTGATTTTCAGAAGTGCTCAGCACTGCTGATGAGAATTACAGATACTGGCTTGTGCATGGAACAGCTGAACCTAACATCTATTTAGGTTGTCAGAGCACTATAAGGATGTGTAAAGGTAAAGCAGGTGAGAGCCTCCAGATCCAGGCTTAAGAATAAGTTTATGATATTTCATCCAAACAAGAGACAGTAAAAAGAGAAAACAAGAGGGGGAGAGAATGAGGATGCTATGAGGTTAGAGCTGGGTTTTAAGACTATGGCTTTACTGTTGTCTTTCCTTAGAGACAGAAAAAAAAACCAGACAAAAAACCAAAACAACAGAAAATCGAGAGAGAACATGTGCTCTCCTTTTCTTCTTTCAATCTGCCACTCACCCAAACCTTGCAGAAGTCATCATGCCCCAAAGCCCGGAGCCCAGAGAAGGGCTGGACAAACATTCACAGCATTTTCCAAGCTGCATTAGTAAGGATTAAATACAAGCAAGATTGGAAGGGATATAAAACTCCTGCTTAAGCCTTCTCCCTCAGCTCAAGGGCAAAGAATCTGCATCCGGGTCAGCTCACTTCGTAATTGCTTTCCTCAGAGGGCTTTAACCACCACCTTTGATGCATCTGGTGTTTGTCACTGCTGGAGAGGGTGACACTCACTCAGAGCATCAATCCCCTTAAATCAGCCCAGCTGTACATACATTTCTCATGAGCTACATACACAGTTTTTCAGTCCGATTATGCTCTGGGCAGAGCAGCAGCGAGTTCCTGCCCATTTGTTCACCACTCTTGCAGCACTTTCTGCCTGTTTGAACGTGTTTGATCAAGCCTACTTCTCTGGGTCATGGTTCCTGGTCGGGAGCTGGGGAGGCTGCATTTGCCTGTCGGGTGAATTTTGTGTTAACATTTGTGAGGCTGCATTAGCTTGGACGTGGCAGTCCTCACCCCCCAGACCTCCTGCCAACACACTGGACCAGTTTCTGTTGACCTCACACAAGGCATTGGCATGTGTCAACAGAGGTCCCACCTTGTTGGGCTTTTGTCCCTTGCTGAGGGAGCAGAGATTGTTTAGGACGTGCCCACAGCGCTCATGGTGGTTTCAGGCTAGCACAGGAAACGAAGCTGCTGAATCCACGTCTCAGCACTGAGCTGAACAGCAGTAGGATGCTAAGACCTCAGGGATCCTGCTCCTCCAGCAGGAGCTGCCAAGGACAGACAAGTCAACCCGGCATGAAGCATGCACCCTGCCTCTGCTCCGCTCTGCTGTCTGAACATGCGAACTGGAGCAGAGGGTCAGCAGCTGCAAGGAGAAACCGTTGCCACAATTTACCCTGAGAGGTGGCTTTAGGCAGGCCCTTGATGAGCATTGGCTGCTGCCTTTCCTGAAGCCCAGTGTCTCTCTCTGGATTAATTTGATTTCGACTCCAGGCATGAGCTCCCCTCAAACTGCCCCTCAAAAATCCCAGTGGTTTTTAGATAGGCATGGTGAGTCATCCAAGGCTGAAGAAAATGCTCCTCCTTTCTCCATGGAAGGAAAGCACCAAAGCATCCTCTTTTGAATTTAACTGAGGTTCTGGTTGGGGCCTTTTTTGGGAGAGACTATTTTCTTCTTGGGGCTTTTTTTTTTTTTTTTAATACCTACATCCCAGAGAGCATTAATTGAAGAATACCAAAGTCTTGTTCTCTCACCACCATTTGCAGCTGAGCCAACAGGAGAGCTGAGCTCCGTCTCTGTGGGACTCACTGTGGGAAGGAGATGACATTGTCCGTGGCTGCTGGGACACGGAATGGGTCAGTCTGAGCACAAAGAGCCAGCATGAACCCATGCCTCCTGAAGCATTCACACTTAAGGTCATGTGTTTTCTTTGAAAACATCTAATAAGGAGGAAGTGTTCAAAGGAGCAGATAATTAACTGGCAAATGTCAGTCTGGAGTTTCTCAGACTCCCTGAGAGGACAGATGCTGTTAGACTGACTCCTCACAGGAGACCTGGGAAAATGGTGCTTGGGAAAAAGCAGAATGGGATGGGTGCCCAAGCTTGAGCCTTCAGGGAGTAAGAGTCAGCTGAAATGCTGGCCAGC